TCAGTTAACACAGATGCGGAGGCAACTAGAAAATCAGAGAGACGAAATAAAAGATTTAAAAGGACGGTTACAGAAGTCGTTCGATAATGCGATTATGATTCGTGGTTTGTATGAAGCACAGTGCAAAGCAAATGAAATTCTTACTGAACAGTAGGATTTACGATATTGTAATCAGCACAAGTGTGTGCAAGCAGTAGTTGATATTGCACAACTAGAACGACAATTTTTATGAGGATATTGAACTTTTGATTGGAGATACTAATAGATTTTCTTTAGAAAACTTAACAAACTGCTCATTAGACAGAAGAAGTAAAGTTTTTATTCAATTCACGAATAATTTATTCAGTGCGATTGATTAGCCCGTTCAAAAGATATAAAAGCAGCGTAGGATAGACTTAGCATCGGTGTGTTCGATTTAGTGTTCAAAGTATCCGAAATATTCAGTTCAAGTGTTCGCTACGATATTTCCCATCGAAGACGTTTGATACCCTTTTCTATATTTATTTCTTGTTAAAAAACGAATATCCATTTATTCTGAGACAATAATTCTTTTCCTTGAACATTCCGTTATATTTTAAAGCATTAATCCGTATAACGGCAAGATCGGTTGTAATACTTGTCTCACAATCGATCGAGTGGCATTAAGATAATTAATTATTATTTCGCAGCGCGCATTATTTTCTTATTAAGACCCCAACCTACAGACTACCGAATTAATCCGCCGGTAGAGAGTAGTTTTTGTTCTCGAGAATAGTTAATTACCTAGTATTAGTGTGTGTGACACGTATAAGAATACGTTAGCATTGAAAAGCCTAGTTAAAGGTCACTAACTGTTTGTTACGATTTAGCTATTCTACGACGGCGCAGCACACATCCTAAACCATGCAACAGACTTCTACAAACAGCTATGGGACATATCACCTATGCTGGAGGACACCCCTCTCCAAAACTATATCCACTCTGTCACAGAAACCACAAAACAAGAACTCACAAAGCCTTTTACAGTACAGGAAGTCCTAACGGCAATTGGACCAAAGAAAATAACTCACACAGCGACCCCCCCAAAATTCCGCTGCTGATCTGTAGATCATTTCCAGAAATCGCCTTACGGAATTGTTGACCCTTCACTACTATTTTTGGAAGCAGAATACAGACAATCTTTCCATGTGATTGATTTCATGTGGCTACACTTTTTATTTTGTCAAAATTTGAAAATTATTGTCTATGTTAAACAATGGTTGTCAAATTTATGTCTGTTACAGTTTATTTGATAATGACAAAAGAAAAACACTAAACATACTATGTGTATATCAAGCAATGGCTTGCCTCATTTTTGTGCTATATGTAGCATAGTAAGTAACTTTATTTATGTCTGTTTTTTGACAAATATAATAATAGTAATAGCATGTATTTGTGTACACATAAATCTGTAGTCGATTAACAAAAAATTTGGAAAGTTAATTAGACTGTTATGCATTTTCCTTTTTGTAAACATGCATAAGCTGAATAAATAAACATAACAAGTTCCAAATAGTATGTTATCTCTTATCACTTGCACAAAATGTTGAAGTGTTCATCTTGTCATGCTAAGAAAAACAGCAATGAGTTTTATCAAGGGGAAGAATTCATAAGACATGTCAAAGGGTGTTTAACTCAAAAAAGTTCAAAAAATAATAAAAGATCAGAAACTCTGTCCTTGGACACTCTAAATAATCCAACTGAGAGAGAAATAAATCCAACACTCACAGATGGCCCAAATATCAATGAGGAACATCTTATAACTTTAACAGAAGCAGAATTTCCTCAATTTTTACAGAGTCAATTTTGATGTAATTGTTGATAATGAATGCATTGAAATTTCATGTCAGATAAAACTCAAGATTGATGAATTCTTAAATCCAAAAGATGTCACTACAAAATTTCAGATTGATGCTGAAAGAGAAGTTGGTTATAAATGGAAGAAAGTATTAGTAGGCAAATGCGATTTATATATTTCCATCAAATAAAATGTCAATATTATATTTATTCTAAGTTTTTGGAAAGAAAATAAATCCACAAAAGAAAGAAACAAAATGTCTATGGTTTACTATCTTTGCTCGCAGAGTGAATGTCTGGCAGACTACAAACAGTCCAATCGAAAACGAATTATGCACTTTAAATGTGAAGGCCAGTTACAAATACACAGACTTGCTAAACAGTTATGCATGCATTATGTTAACACATAATTATTTGCATAAACATCCAGAAAACTCACATAGTATTCCTGAAAACGTCTGCATGGAGATATGGCAAAATATACATTTAGAACCATTACAACTGTGAAAATATCTTACCAAAAATTTGACTTATCAGATATTACACTGAAACAGATTTACTATTGTTGGAGTTCAAGCACTCAGTCAGCTTATAAATTCGATGATGATCCAGTAAAATCTGCAATCTATCTTCTAAAAAACGTGTATCAAAGCCAAAATTGTGAACTTATTATGGAAAAAAATACCTCAGATATTGTTACCATTGCTTTCTCAACACTGATTCTAAAGTATGCCCAACAAATTGAAGAAGCCCATGTGTATGTGGACACAATGTACAAAACAGCTAAAGGTCACTTCAAATTATATGGTGTCATCAGAGAAATCAATGGAAGTGGATTTCCTCTTGCATACTGTTTAATGGATATGAGTAGACATTCAGGTAATAATGAGTCCATTCAGACACAATTACTCATAGAATTCTTCCAGGCACTTAGGAATCGAAGCCTAATACTAAAGTTTATTTTTACTGATAAAGACTTTGCTGAAATCAATGCTGCACAATTAGTGTGGAGACACTCACAAACACAGCTGTGTTTATGGCACATAAAAAGAGCCATTCTAACTCAGTTATGAAGCAAAAAGGAACAGCAAAGGTTTGCATATATTAAAGAAAGTGACCTTAAATGATTCCCTTTTATCAATCCAACATTTTGGCCAATACCTGGAAGCACATTGCTATTTTGTCCCATATCCTTACACAAGTCAGTTGTAACTCTGATAAAAAGACATTTTAATCTGCATCCATTGATACCAATTGATGTGAGTGGTGGTTCTTTGACACCTGATCAAATTCACTACAATTCAACAAAAGAAGTCTATGATTTTTGCAGATTAAATAATCTTTCAGCATTATGGCTTTACCTATTTTCATGTTGGTATTCTGAAGGTAAGTATTTTCTCTGGGCTCGTTCATGTCACCCACAAATACCTTTCAGCAAAACGACGATGATGATTGAAGCACATTGGAAAGTCCTAAAACGTGATTACCTGTATCGCTTCAACCGACCGCGTTTGGATTATGTAATCTATATTATATGCGAACATCTTCTTCCGCAGCAGGAGAATCGGCTTCTACAATTGCTAAACGGCCGTCAATACCCACATTGGTGGGAAGAATTTAAAAGGGAATGGAAAAAGGCAGGACAAAGACACTTTTCCACTACCTCTGGGGAAAACTATTATACATCAGATGCTTCATGGGTATGTAGTTGTCCCAATTTTCTGCAAAGCTGATTCTGCTGCTGGCAGGTATTCCAAATGGTTAATCTACAATGAAATCAAAAGAGGCAGGGAATAGGAACAGCCATTTATTAGTTTTGTAAAAGATGATCATAGAGAATCAGACCAAGAGACTAATGATATGCTTTGATTAGAGCAAGTAACCAATGAAAATGATATTGGTCACTGGATATGTCCAAACAAGTGTCATGTAGTACAAAATCCGCAGTTGAATTTAATATTAAGGGGTGTTTATCGAATGTACTGCAAATAAACTCAGGATGATAACTGTCACATTGCATAACTATTATTGTCATTTTAGCATTATTATTATTTTTCAAGATACTTTCAGGAAAATTTTTTTTAATAATTTAATGCTGAATTACACTTCATCACATCACTCTTCATCAATAAAAGAAAAAAAACAATAACACAATAAAATAAACAATGAACAATTATATTAACATAAACAGGATTATCTGTTAAATCGATAGAGATGTAGAAGTTTAAATTAAAGTAAAAGGTGTTAATTAATAATCATATTGTCATTGTCATTATCATTATCCTTTTCAGATGTTTCTTTCTTTTGTTTTTTAGAAGACCTTCGAACAATGGGTTGTGGGTTCCATTTATGAACAACAATATTTTTTCTGTGTCAACCTTTGATGATTCTCTTTTCTGTTTTGTAGACGTCCTGTTGCAGAATAGCATTCATACGCGAAATGCCAATTTTATAACAATCAAATAATCTTTTAAATCCTTCAGGGTTTAATTCACAGCTATCTACAAACAGTTCATGAGATGAGGTCAGGGAGCAGAAACGCAGTAGTTAAATCTTCAACTAATTTCCACAATGCATCCTTGTATGACTTCAATCTTTTTTTTTTGTTGACATGAATGTTATCACTGACATATTCAGAAAATAGCATGGCCAGACAGTCTCTTTCTGACTGTACGGCAGATATCTGCAACTTTAGTTCTTCAGCTGTCATTGGTTTTCCTCCAATGTTCTGCTTAATATACATAACTCCGAATCTTTCCAAGGCCTCATCGAACGCAAAATAATTCCCAGCACTCGTTAAATTAACTGATGCGACTTGTTTGAGCAGCGTCCGAAGCTATGGTTCGTTTGCGAGGTAAGATAAAAAAAAGGTAACTGATCGTGCATAATTACCTTTCCCAGCGACGGGAAACAACGGAGAAAATGCGGTGAGGTTTTTATGTTGTAACTCAAAGTTACCCTTGCGGATACCGATTTTGTGTCCAAGCCAATAGGAACACCATCTAAAGTAATAGTACCACACTTTTACTACATTATTGGTCGTATTTTCGAGCTCCAAAAGCGATATCCCCAGACTTTCAGCATATTTGGCAACGTATATCAATTCTAAAACACGGCAGGTAGCAGGATAATCTACTACCTTTTCCAATTTGTCGATGTACCGAACTCCCAGACGTGCAGCTAACTTAAAAATCCCATACCCCGAGAATATCGTAATCAAGACCGAACACATATTCTTTGACGTATGCCACTGACCTAATAATAGCCTACATTTTGGATTTTTTTCTTTAAATGGAATTAAACGGCGAAAGATAACTTCATCACACACGACGTCAATGTAGTCACTATTCTCAGTACCAACATCATCGAAATACATCTTACATGCCGCATGCACATTGGCATTGCAATTAGGATTTTCACCTGGTCTCAATATTACAACATTAGGCAATGGAACTTTACATCCATCAGTGGCACTGTTCTTAATGGTTTCGTGAGACCAGTTATCCGATTCTTTTTTAAGAAATTCTTGAATAATCTCTGCATATGTTAATAACAAGTGTTCTGTGTAGTCTGATTTGCCGAATAAGGATACTTGTTTGTTTTTATTGTTATCGTCATTGCCACTCTTAACATTTCCTGTATAGGCACTGAAAGATCGAACTGAAACACCATCCTAACTGTCGCATAAATGCTGCGCCTGGCCGTATCAAATATGTTGCCATACGCGAAAGTCTTTTCAACGAAATCGATATTGTCCAAAATTGAAATGTTCCACATCGTTTCCTTCCTTATTATTCTATTCTCCGGTTTACGCGCTGTCTTTCTAACGTTTTTTCACGATGTAGACTATGGGGTATAACATTTGCTGTCCAGAGAATTGCATATAGCGTAGATATTAATTTTGGTTTTGTACAGAGACTACCCAATATGTGCGTTAGCCATATACTAGCTGACGGAAAAGCAATGTTTAAGAAAATCGATAGCAAAAATATGCTAATTTTATTAGCTTTTGTATCATCATAAGGAAGTTTTTGTAAACCTCTGCTCGTTTGTCGTAAATTGTTTGCCTTGTTTTTTTTCTGTAATAAACAATGTAAAAAATAACAACAAAGGTGGGGGAAAGCTTTTCTCATATTCAACTATCGATGATGGTGATTCGAGTTTTTGCTTATTTTTCCTGACCCATTCACGTGATTTCCATAACATATCACCAAGTCTTTTGTTGCAGTTTCAGATGTAAATTCACTTTGATTCTCCTCATTTTTGTTGACTTTTGGCACATTAAGCTTTAACAATGTTCTCAATAATAATGGGTTAATTGACTTTGTTGAATGTTCTTTTCCTTCAATTAACGTTGGTAATGATGATGAAAGCCATGATAAGATTTTTTCTTTATATTCTGCATTGTTTGATGTTGCAGTACTTATAATCCATTCCCTGAAAATTTCAAGTGAATCAGAAGTATCATTAATATGCTTATCATTACATGAGAACCTGTAACCAGAGCCAAGATGCTCATATGAGTGACCTCCATTTTTCTTAAAACAAGCACTGCAAATAAAACGTGTGTGATGATCATTGGTAGAAGTAGTAAGAATTGTTTGTGGTATTCCTTCTTTCTTGAAAACAGAACATACTTTAAATCCTGAACAAGGGGCTTGCACAGTTTTACCAGCAACACATACAGAAGGTTTGACACAATTATGACCTCAGCTAAAAAATGATTTGTATTTGTTACAGAAAAGACACCAGTTTGTATGTACCCAGCTTGTTTTGATAGATCTTTGCCTTTTACTCACATTATGCAGTTTTGCACCATCATGTGAATAGTGAGATGAACACATGCCAGGAATAGTTCCTTCTTCTTGAGCTTTTTTAAATAATAATTCCAGGAGAACATATACAAGAATGATAATTAGGTCATGAGTATAATTCGCAGTTTAAGCATCACTAACTGTTGGTAGATTTAATTCAAGTAGGAATTACCAAAAGGTTCTGCCTGAAAAGAGTTAAATCTCAAGGTCAGTATTCCACTGCGCTCCCAGGAATATTGGCTTGACAAATACTTACTTCCATTTATAACCATCTTCTCTTTCAACATCAATTTGAAATTTTGTAGTGACGTCTTTTGGATTTAAGAATTCATCAATTTTGAGCTTTATCTGACATGAAATTTCAATGCATTTGTTATCAACAATTACATCATCATCAAAGCATTCAAATTGACTTCATAAAAATTGAGGAAATTCTGCTTCCATTAAAGTTATAAGATGTTCCTCATTGATATTTGGGCCATCTGTGAGTGTTGGATTTATTTGTCTTTCAGTTGGATTATTTAGAGTGTCCAAGGACAGAGTTTCTGATCTTTTATTGAACTTTTTTGAGTTAAACACCCTTTGACATGTCTTACGAATTCTTCCCCTCAATAAAAACTCATTGCTGTTTTTCTTAGCGTGACAAGATGAACACTTCAACATTTTGTGCAAGAGATAACATACTATTTGGAACTTGTTATGTTTATTTATTTCAGCTTATGCATGTTTACAAAAAGGGAAACGCGTAACAGTCTAATTAACTTTCCAAAGTTTTTGTTAATTGACTACAGATTTATGCATACACAAATATGTGCTATTATTATGTTTGTCAAAAAACAGACATAGATAAAGTTATTTACTACCTGCTGGGAAAACTATTAATGTGAAAGTATTAGACATTGTCTACTATGCTACATATAGCACAAAAATGAGGCAAAGCCATTGCTTGATATACACATAGTATGTTTAGTGTTTTTCTTTTGCCATTATCAAATAAACTGTAACAGACATAAATTTGACAACCATCATTTAACATAGACAATAATTTTCAAATTTTGACAAAAGTGTAGTGTTGAGGCAATAGTCATGGGAGAGCAAATAACTACTGTCTCAGTTTGGGACCTAGCTGCACCGTCATAGGAGTGTGACTCACCTCAGCAATAGCTAAACCTTAACAAACAGTTAGTGACCTTTAAATTAGGCTTTTCAATGCTAACATATTTCTATATGTGTCACACACACTAATCCTAGATAATTAATTATTATCGAGAACAAAAAAAAAACTACTCTCTACCAGTGGATTAAGTCAGTAGTCTGTAGGTTGGGGTCTTAATAAGAAAAATACTGCACACTGCAAAATAATAATTAATTATCTTAATGCCACTTGATCAATTGCGAGACAAGTATTACAACTGATCTTGCTGTTATACAGATTAATATTAATGCTTTATGAATATAACAGAAAATTCTAGGAAAAGAATTATTGTTTCAGAATAAATGGATATTCATTTATTAACAAGAAATAAAATATAGAAAAGGGTATCAAACATCTTTGATAGGAAATATTGTAGCAAACACTTGGATTGAACACTGAGTCAAATGCTGAGAACACTCTGAACACCCTGATACTAAATCTATCCTACGCTGCTTTTATATCTTTTGGATGGACTAATTAATCTATTTTTAGCATCAGCTTATTAATTGTTAAGTTGCTAATTATTCTCTAAGTTATCACTATTCTCTCTCTCACTGACTATTACATTCTGCTGTTACCCCGTGCTGTCACTGTGTATGTGCTGCTAGTATGACATTCTTGCATTAGTACAACTGCTTCTGGTACTACTGTTATTCTTAGTACCACCATTACATTTCTATCACTGATCCCTGAGTCCTGGTGGCACTAACAGTTCCACAGAAATTTAGGAAGGAATACGTCATTGTGTAGGCTTGCGTCATCATAGTAACCACACGAAATTAATCACATGGAAAGATTGTCCATATTCTGCTTCCAAAAATAGTAGCGAAGGGTCAGCAATTCTGTAAGGCGATTTCTGGAAATGATCTACAGATCAGCAGCAGAATTTTGGGGGGTCACTGTGTGAGTTCTTGGGAATATGAAGATGCTACAGTCCTTGCAACTTGGAGAGGGGCACCCCCATCATGCCTCTCTTGCAAAACTGCAGGACACTATTCCAGTGTATGCCCCACATCCACCAAAAAAGACCATGGCAGAAACCCTGAAAAAATCAATCAGCAAAAATGAAACCAAACCCCCTAAGCCTGTGGAACATCAAACAACCACAACAATCACCTCTTCCAGTAAGAGCAACATGATACCAAGTAACTCCCAGGCAGGATATGACTCGCAACAGTTCCACACACCCCTGCAACAGCCACAAACATACACTACCCTAACAAAAGTATCCGGTCAAGCTTTTTTTGATTTTCTCAAGATCAGACATATCAATTAGCTTTTTTTTTTTAAAAAAATAAACGCCCTGGTTCTGATGATTAACTGTGTTTATTTGTTTTGTATTATGACGCGTACAGCCAATTTGGTAATAAAAACATAAACAACGATCAATT